ATGTCCATAAAGTAAGTTTTCCGTAAGAATGAATTGGCCTATCACAAATGATGTCAATCTGATTGTTTTAACGTGTTTATTACTGGTAGTTCAGGTTGCAAACGTATTGAAACACACCAGACATGTTAAACCAATATTTACAAGTCAACAGTTTTTCTAGAAATTGATGTGATCTTAGTTTCACTTCTTAATGAAATAAGTCTAAAAACTTCCTTTAACGCGAAAAACTAACATGTTCGTGCAGAAGCATTTCATATAAATTTTCGTAAAATTGTTCTATTCTTTCCTTTGATGCCTTTATTTATTCTAATAGAGAATACAATTCGAGCCATGAAAAAATTGAAGCAACGACGGCTAGCACACAATTAATTTTAAGTACCGACTTATTACATCGGAACTGTATTTAAGCAGGAGATAAACTGCATAAGGCAACTAGCAAGTTCTTACGAATGGAATTGGAGAAACATCGGAAAGACTATATCTCTACTTAACAAAGTTATTTCTATTTTGGTCTATTTTCATTTAACATTCAGTGGTACGTCATGACTGAAAAAAAGAGAAAAGGTGCTTTTTCAGGATTTCCCTCCATCCTGTTTTTAGTAGAATCCTAAAGAATTGCTTAATCGTAATAGTCAAAATTCCAAATATAGTAAACGAGCATTCTGTGTGTACAGGGATTTCAGTTCCTACGTGAAGACAAAGCGTTAAAATTTTATATATTGCTTACAAGTAATTAGGAGGATGAACTCAAACCAACAAACGGAAATGATTAATGAGCTAGACTTTTGAAATCTTTTATGTTTTTTGTCGTTAACTGTCACCATATCACTGAACACAGCCTTGCGAAGTCTTCCCCGATTTCAATGTGATCTGATGGAAAGTTTGAAGTAGAACCATCTAGGCTTATTCCTCTTGACTTGTCAGTGGAGTTCTAACCATCAGGAAAGATGTATTGGGTCTATATTGTATGTAGGACGAGACTTTATTTTTTTTACTGTAAATAATCTTGGAATCGTTTGTATTAGTACCATATTAAATTCATTCAACAGCCTTACTATAGTATTCTCACAAAAATAGGACAGCATTTGAAGAATGTTACCACAGTTACTCCAGTAAAAATTAATGTAGGATCACGTACTTCCGATTTGAAATCTTTCATAATCTTAAGTGGAAGTTACACTATGAAACTAATTTTAGGAGAAAAAGCTTTAAAAAGCGCAATAGACCAGTTCATGAGGTGTAGCAATG